AAAAACTGTTATATTAACATTATACTGCCATGATAGCAGTATGAAATTGAGCCCCTTCAATGTTCTCTACATACTTCTTGACATGTATGTCCTTGCAACCTCTAGTGTCCATAACTACAAAGCACCTGACTCCTCACCTTCTCCTAGAATTATAATTAATCAGAAATTGTTTATTTTTATATTCTTCAGGTTTTTCTTTTTACAGTCAGCAGTCTGCAGGTGATTTTGTGCAGGGTTAGCAGTTTATGTTCCTTATGTGAACCCCATTGAAGAGACAGATTCTCCAAGAGGAAAAGCAGTCCAACACTAGTTTTAAAATAACTGTGTATAATTTTTCTTCTTTACATGCTGACTTTTTTTTTTTTTAAGTCTGTTTTTCCAAGTAGTTGCAGACAAAATAAGATTGTCTACCTACAGCAACTAAATGCATGTAGAGATAAAATGGGCAGAATGAAAAGCAGATTTAAAGGACTTTGAAAGTGACATAGCTCGTAATGACAGCTGGGCTGGACCGAGTACTTAACTGCTGATCTGCTGGGGTTTTCTCACACGACCATCTCTAAGGTCTCTTCTGACATCTCAGTGTGAGATGTCAGAAGAGAATGAGTGTCTCCTTTCATCTGATAGGACAGCAACAATAATTTGAATAACCACTTGATACAACCAAGGTAACAAGTGGTTTTTAGGAAAACCTACTCATTTCAACACTAAGCTTTACTCAGAAACAAAATGACATGCAAGTGCTGTTATCCAGCGTTATTAAGACCTCTGGTGGACAACCGCAGCAAAGCATTATCTAGTGAAATTCACTGTTCCACTATAAATGTTCAGTCAACAAAGCACACATGAAATCTTGATTACACTCATCAAGTTTTCCATAAATTCAGCCACACGACCAATAACACATAAGAGCAAAATAATTATTTCAACTTTAATCACATTATTAACATTTCAATGAGATTTATCTGGACTCAGCCCTGCCATTCTCTGAACTACACACAGTATCTGGTGCTCCTCAACATCAGTCATCTGTATCAACCTGGAAACCACAAGATTTAACCTTGTGAGAAGATTAAACACAAAGAATTACAAAGTAATTTCAGCCTCTTTCAGACATGCGCTCCTTCCCATTGATCTGACAGTATCTTG